TTAACATAACAACAGAAAGAAACTCCAAAAGCTTTAACAAGAAAATCTTCCACAAATCTGATAATTATAACAACAATATAAAGTGGGATTCAGCCCATTGAACAAAAAATTGGCACATTTACAACACAGAATTTGACACATGCAGCAGCAGTAATCTGCAACATGAACTAGAATCAATATCTGATATATTTATTAACGAATGTTACTTCCATAAACAAACTGTCATTAGAACTTTAGTCAAATATACAACAAAACTCGATAAGATAAAAAAAAAGAAAGGGAAACAACATAAACTTCATGAAGGAAACAAAATGCACAAACTCAGACACACTAATAGGTGTCTTACCACATCATGGCTATGTAACATTATAAACATTTGGAAATGCTTATATAAAAGAAAAACAGCAAAGTTACGTTTATCCAAAAATTGAGCACTAAAATCAGAGATCTTCTAAGGAAGGTTTATTCTCACAACCACAATGACAAAAGTATCAACGTGATAGCACTTACATAGGCAAAAAGGGACACAAAATAAGCAATAGGATCAAAGAATGTAACAATCACACCTTTACAAACACAGCATAACAAATCAACATCCAGTTAACATTAACAGCTTTAAAATATTGTGTAATGAGAACAACATTAATAATTTGGGAACTAAAACCTAATTTTAAAACAAAACAAAGATGTCATCCTATATGTTTTCTAAATTGGAACAAAATGCTCACGTAGTATTTCATACAATAGATGACAGTTACCTGATAATGGCCACACAGTGGTTGACGCTTTGTAATAAAGTTAAATAAAAATAATCCACTCAAAAGCTGTATGTATGAACTTTTATTTATACCTATTAAGTGTTTAGTATATACAATGTTATATTTCAATCCAAAAAAAAAATGTTCTATCATTTTAAGTGGAGGAAAAATTAATTTCCTTTCTTAAATATCAAGGTATTAAAAATACTTTAAAAAATATTAATACATAGTAAATCAAATCATGGATAATGTTTAGTATATTAGCTGTGTGTATATATTTGTTTATATTAAGCTCTGTCATACAGAATTATAATTTAGTTGAAATTGTGCATAATTTTAAAAACTGAATTTATATACTGGCATTGTCTTTAGCAAAAAAAAAAAAGTCACCTTCTTTTTTCCCTTAGAGAACCCTATTCAAATTTGTAACTAAAATCTGCTTAAATTTATAACTTCTAAGTATATTGCTTCCAATATAAGAATGAAATTTAATTAATTTCTATTTACATGAAACTTCCTTCAGATCTTATCATGGAGAATGGCAATGCTTTGTTCAAAAGTATGACTAACATGTATTCATGCATCAACAGAAGAACCATGCTATTTTCAACAAAAAAATAAGTTATAAAATCCTTCTACGAATTATTATTCTGTAGTTTACAATACAAAGTTGTATTTGGGCAAATCAAATTGAAAACTCAAAAAGTATAATATACATCTTGCAAATGGAGCTTACCTCTTATTCTATAACTATATTAAAGCAAAAATTCATAATCATAACTAATTTGTTCACACTCTTTCAGTATCTCCAGCACAGTATTTTTTCAACATGCAGTCCAGTTAACCAAGCACATCTTAATATAATTGAGAAATCTTTATTTTTTAATGCATTTAATAATAACAAGCAAGTAAAGAACACAAGAATCTCCTCAAATTCTGTTGGGACTTTTTTTTCTTTCTCTTTTACCTGCTACAAATTTTGAAAACTAGAATATTTACTTGTATGCATGTTTTATATATTTCTAATCTTAACTATTTAAC